TTATTAGGTTTACAAATAAAACTTCCCTGATTAGTTTATAATTTATTCAAAACCCTGATTAGCTTTTAATTTATTTGCATATTAATCACCCTTAACAACAATAACCACCATAAATATATTCTTAGCATTCTACTTAACGACTTATCTAATTAGTCTATTTTGTCACTAAGTTTTTTCAAAAACAAAAAAATACACATGTATTAACTGTATATCAATTTATTTATCTATTTAATTTAATATATATATAATATATAATTTAATATATATAATTTAATCTAATTAATATAATTGAAATACTACTAATCAATTTACTGATATTTTTTCTATAGCATTGTTAAAAATGGTTATATTCTGAAAGGTAAAGAAATTTATTGAAAAGAAAGTTGCACAAAAGAAAAAAAAAACTAAATAAAAGTTACTTGTTTCAAAAAACGTTTTACGAAGAGTTTTTCCAAACAATTTTATTTTTAATTGCGTTTTTTTTTTTAATTACGTCATAAGCATATTAAGGCGTTTTGAAAAACAGTTGCTGTATATATTTATAGTAAAAAAGTTAATGTAGCAAAATAAACTTTTAATTGCCAAAAGAAAGTTTTAAAGTTTTATCTAGCTACAGGCTTTTTTTTTTTTTTTTGCCTCCACAGCAGCATCTTCTGAAGTAGCAGGGCTGTCTTGTTAAGTTTTTTCTTTATTAAGTTTCAGACAACTTTTTTTTCAGACCATCCGCAGCTTATTAGGACTAATTACATGAGCACATTAATAACATAAGTGTCTCAATTATCATAGATACGCAACATATTTTTTCTCCTAGTGATGTTTTTTTTTTTTTTAAATGTTTTATGAAGTTTTAGCTTTCTTAAAATCTTTTCTTTTGTGAGTGCATAACATCGTTACATATGTTTGTATATAATCTTTATAAAACTTCGAAAGTATTTTGTATTTTAAAATAATTAAAAAAATTAAAAAAAATAGCCGCCATTGGTAGGAGTCGAACCTCTAGCTCCTTGTTCAGAAGTTCGCCGCCTTATCCACTCGAGCTACACCGGCATATCATTATGTGTAGATTTTATAATAATGTAGTAATTTTTTTAAGGAAAAAATTGTTAGATCAAAATTAAGGAGAGGTTGACACAATGTAATTTTCAAGTAAAAATCAAACTGTAAAACATAATAAATGTTTCAGTATGTTTTAACATTTGCTTTAACCTTACTTAGTTTAAAGTTTACGTACGTTAGATATTCGTTCACGTATTCTTATAGTGCTGCGACTCTTTCTTGCCAATACCTCGGTTGCAATGGCTGCCAAGGGTTTCGTGTCAAATACGCTCCAAGGGACACTACTATTAAGTTTGGCAATATTATATAGAAGATGTGCTGAAAAAATTTATTTGAAGTTTATTTTCTCAAAGAAGTGATTAGTTTGTGTCACATTATTCAGCTACTACAACTGTATTGTGTTAAATAATATTATTTACTCATTAGTATAATTTTATTCAATTTTACTAAGTTGCAAAATTTTGGAAATAGTAATTCTATTTACTGGGAAAGGTTTTTGAAATAAATTCAATATTGTATGTCAATTCAATGGTTTTTATTCTTAAACTCATTATCTAGACCATGGCCGTAAAAGATTATAAAAATGTTTTGACCCTAATATACCTATGCATATTTTCGGCACATTTACACAATTTCTTAATTATCAAATTTTAATTGTAGATTTTTAAAGGCCATTGTTTAAAATGAAGTAAAAAGATTCAAAAACAAGTTTAATTAAAGTAGAATACTTTAACTTAATGTTGAAGTTTTGAAAAATACACAAAAAGTAATGTTACCCCATCTAATACTAATTATTAAACGTTTTTTTAAGAAATATTTTAGCCTTTGAATATTATTCTAGAAAGATTTCTTTAGCACGGTTCTCATTAGTTAAAAGTTGTTTTTTATTTCACTTTCATATTAGAATGCATTTCAGAAATAAAAGCCAAGATAAAATGGAATTTTTTGACTTTTAATTTTCTAATAAAATTTTATTTAAAAGATTTATTCTACCAAAAACAAAGTTAAGGATTTATAACTATTTTCTTAACAACAGTTAGCGCAATATCAATAACTTATTAAAAAACACAGGTTATTAATTGTCGCATTTGCATTAAAAAAGATTGCTTTTTATGTATTTTTCAAAATTAAAATATTGAACTAGAACTCAATAGCTAGATGAAACTTTTTATTGAATACTTTCTTTCGTTTTAAACAAAACAGAATTTGCAATTGAAATTAGTAAATTACAAGCTGGTATTATTTGTATTTTTGACACTTTTATAAAACTAACTTTTATACACTTTTCATAAAGAAGAATTATTTGTATGGATTTTAACTTAAAAAAATTTGAGGGCAGAAGTCTAAAATTCTTTAGATAAAAATTTACAAACTAGTTTTAGGAAACATTAATTATAATTTTCTGTTGCTTTTTTAAGACTTGTTGCCTATGACATATATAAAGCGTTCAAATAAAATTATCATGCTGATCTTCTCCATAATCTTGCTTTATATACTATTTGAAGATCATTTCTTTTTAACTGCAATAATAAAGTCTTTCTCAAAGGCCAACACACTTCCTTGTTCCTAATAACCTCTGGGTTACCTATTATATTCTTGGTCCTGTTTTTTTTTTTTTTATCTACCTTTATGATCTTCCAGACAACCTTACAACTAAAATAGCTCTGTTTTTTGATGAATTATCTTTGTTATCCTGCTTTGAAAAAAATTCAGATGACAACCTCTTACTTTGCTCTTGTTCTTATTTCAACCCCTTTACTGCGTCCTCTTGAATTCTAATTTTTAATAAGAAGTTTTTTTAAATTACGTTGTTATAAAGAAAACAGTTCATTACATGTTCAGTGGTTTTTTATATAATAGATACTACAACTTATCAAAAAAAAAATTGATTTCAGCAAACGATTGTTCTGAAAAGGTTTTTAATGTATCTATTATTATGTTATTTTACGTTTTTTATACGCTTAATAGACGTGTTTTACAGACCAAATGACTGTTGGGATATTAGATAATGGGAATAAGAAAAGATAATACGAATATATAAAAGAAATGAAGTAAGATGATAAAAGAGATATTAGATTATGAGGTATAAGAAATACATGTTAATAATTAGATACGAGTAAAAGATAACGAGATGTAGGAGATATTAATTATCAAGATATATGGGGTATTAGATAAAATTAAAATATTAGATAATAAAGTATTACAAATATATATTAATAACAAGATAATAGTCAAAAATAATGATCAAATAAGCCCTTTTATATATAAGATGACCTCCAGTAGCTTTTTAAAGTTTGAGTAAAAACCTTGTTTAAACTTAAGTGTTTTAGTAAAATAAAATTCACATAAACATTGGTATTTATCAATTTAATATGAGATTTTAAATTAATGAGTTTTAACTTTAGGAATTAGTTTTTAACATCAAATTTTAGTGATCATCATTTTAGCATCCGGTTTTCTACACTATTTATCAACTCTACCACTATATTTGTTTCCTTAAACTTTTTATAATTCTTTTTCTTAAAAAACACTGCTAAATCTAATTACAATAATATCTTAGCATATAAGATGTTAAAATAATGCAATATTTGCTCAAACCAATTTACTCTGAATTTAATTTCTGAAGTATCCTTTAACAGTAAAATTCACAAAAAAGTAAACACCACTCAATTTTTCCTCTGTTCTTTTTAAACACTGAGTGTCATTAGTCTTTATACTCTACAATTCATTGGTATACATTATAAATTTTAGATACATGTGGTTTCTGACTTTCCGTTGACTTTTAATGATGCACTTCTTTAAAATGAAGATATATCTCTGAACTTAGTCTTGTATTAATCTTGCACTTGGTTTCACTTTTGGTCATTCAGGACTTTTACATTTTCTACCTCAACAAAATCACATTTTGTAGAGGTAGAGAATGGAATCCTCCTGTTTGCATTCTTTACCTCTATATATCTCGTATTTTTTCCTCTCTAAAATATTTTTACTTTATTTGTGTTGTTTTTCATTGATACTCTTTGTCTTCTAGAAAAGGTTAAAAAAATTGTAAATGCACCTCTTCTAACTGCCAAGCTTTGGGTCACTCTCTCATCATTACAAAGTTGTATTTCTTTTTATAGAGTTATTTTTATAAAGTTGTATCTTCTTTTATACAAATATTGTCAAGATCACAACTCAAACAAGCTATCAGTTTTTACTCCATTATGAAAACTCATTCTTGCTCGACTTTTATGGTTCAGCAAATTTGAAACAAAATTTTTTTTTCATTAAGTTATTTTTTTGTCTATAAGCTACGTTACAATCATAGTTCATAGGCTTGAGTATGGTAGCTGGGGCAGATCTAACAATATTCAGAACGCATTTTTCAAACTCCTGCAGAGGTTAGAGTTGAAATATATTAAATACTTATGCAAGCCCCATTTAACAACTTGATTTCACTTTTACTCCACCAGCAAGAACTTAACAAAACTTACCAACACACTCATAACACTATTTGTTTAAACTTCATTTTGATTTCTTTTCTGTATTTACTAAGGATAAATTTTTAATAAGCAATAAATAATAGACCATCATTAAGCCAATAAATCACATTCAAGCAATCGTTTAAAACAATCTGTACAAATCTTTTTCTGCAAATTTAGTCTGGCTATGCACATTTCTCTTAACGGCTGTTTCCCAGTGTTTTTTTTAAACTTGAGTTTAAATTGCAAAACTTTTAATTTAAATCTGTCGTAAGTCCTATTGCATCCATTCCATCTGTTTAGGATTTATTAAGTAGCTTCTTGATAAGTCTAAAACAGATAAAACTATTGCCTGAAGAAACGTAAGTAAATAGTTTTTACTTAGTTATTATTATTTATTTTTTTTTACGTAAGTTGTTCATTATTATACTTTTTACTTTTAACTTCGTATTTTTTTTTTTTTACAAATATATATTTTAGCAATTAATCACAATTGTGCTGAAGGTTGGACAAGTTATAGAAAACATTGCTACTTTATTAATAGTAAAAGTAAAACATGGTCAGACTCTTTTTCATCATGTCAGTATAAAGGAGGGAATTTGCTAAGTATAGAAAATCAAGAAGAAAATCGATTCATTCAAAGCAGTTTAATCAAAGATAATGGTGATTATTGGATTGGTATGATGCTTTTACTATTCATACTCTACATTGAAATGATTTTTTATGCATAGATTAAAATAATTTTTTTTTAATAGGTCTCAATAAACTTTGGAATTACAGAAAATTTGCATGGTCTGATAATACTTACACACAGTTCTTTGATTGGATTATAAATGAACCGGACACTATTCATGATGTTGAAAATTGTGTAGCAATGAACTCTAATGGATGGAGCGACAGAGATTGCAATATTCTTAATGGATTTGTTTGTAAAGCTAAAAGAGGTACTGATATTATTTTTTAATCTTCAACTAGTTTATATTTTACTATTTTTTTTTTTTTTTTGTTTTTTAAGATGATGACAAATCTAAATTTTTTATAGTTTTTTTGTTATGAATTAATATATTCTATCTCTTTATTTAATATTATTATTATTTTAGAGTATGTATTTTATTGTTTAAATACTTCGGAGTGTATTAATTTGAATAATTTTTATAACTCTTTGTTTTTCATTTTACTTTTACTTTACATTTTTGTTAACTGCATTGTAAATAAATTGTAATCTTAAATGTTGCTCCATCATATTACGATTTTAAATATTCACAATAGAGCTTTTTTGCTCAAGAATATTCTAGTTTATAAAAAAAATTTGGTTTACATTAGCGTATACGTTTTAAACGTTCATGTTAACTAAGTTATTTCTGTAATTTAATTGCCACTATTGATTGAAACAAACTTGGTTAGTTCTTTTAATGAAATTGTTTTAAGAATTTATTTTTATGTAGCTTTTAAAGAGTTTTTAAAAGCTACATAATGCTGTTTTAAAAAGAAATTTTAAAATATTTTGTTTTTTTTTGTTTTTTGATTATGGTTAATAGTTTTTGTTTACACTGATGTGTTTATATTAAATTTCGGAATCATATAGTCGTGAACAAATTTGACAACAATTATATTTGCAAGTTTTAAACCTATGTAAATAATTTTTTAACTTTTAAGTCATAATCTAAACTTTCACTTTTGCATGCGCCATAATCTTATTTATTACTTTTTGATTATAATATTTATATGTTGTATACTATTTTTAATTTTTTTTTCAATTTTATTTATATTTTTTTCTAAAATGTTATTAAAAAATGTAGATTAAGCCTATTTGTTTGTTAAGTTAGTGCAACTTTTGTGTTGTTAGCTAACTAACAACACAACTTTTGTTGTGTTGTTAGTTAGCTAGTAAATCTTTATCTTTACTTCAATTTTTAATTCAAACTTCTAATAAAAGTAAAAATAACTCTAGCAAAACAGGATTTTCGATCTACAAAAAAATATTTTTGTATTATGATCACTTTGCTAATAAAAAGATTTAACCCAGTACAACCTGCTCCATAACTGCCTTGAAAGACTTGAAAAACGGCCCTAAAGTGAAAGTATAAAAAGATAATACTTAAACACCCACTGCTTTGGTAAACTCTAAAAGTAATAAGTTGATAAAATATTTATTTTAGACAGATTTTTGCTGCATTTGGCTACTTTTTTGTAGAAGGCAGTTCAAAAGACTTAATTGGTAAACCGAAAACTTATGTTTTAAAGTCTTATGTCTCATAATTAAATAAGAGACTGGCATTGTCTTTTAAGCATTATGATATTATAGCCTATTAGATATTATATATTAGATATAGCATGTAAAGGTGTGCTAAACTGCTGACTAAGATATAGCATATTAAGGTGTGCTAAACTGCGACTGTTTTCTGTTTTATGGATGATGAAAAATTCTTGCTGATTCATAAGTTTTTGCTGTGTTGGTAGTGTATATGCTACTTTTTCTGTTATTTTCTAATGATGATTCATCTTAAAAACTCAGTTAAATAATCCTGAAACTTTTTAAATTATTGAATTAAGCAATCGTCTCCTTTTAATCAATCATCCAATATTGTTACTGTTGAATTAATTTTTTACCATAGTGTAAGCTTGGTTCTATTATTTTTATTATCTATTCACTAAATAAGATATTTAAATTGTAGTTTGTTTCAAAACTATTTAAACCACTTACCTTCACCTTCTGATTCTTTGGTTTCTGAGCCTCATGTTAAGTTCTAACTTGATTCATTTTTGGTTGTTTGAATTACGCATTTTTGAATTATGCATTGTTGAATCTTGCATTAGGATAAAATACTCTTTTATATTTAGGATTTTTACTTCCTCATATTCGCTTTTTGAATATAGTTGGATCTGCCCTAGCTACTATACTTAAACCTCTATGATTGTAACGAAGCATAGAGACAAAAAAAACCCTAATGAATTAAAAACTTTAATGCAAGTTTACTGAACCACTTAAGTCAAGCGAGAGTTAGTTTTGGTAGTGGAACAAGATCTGATAGCATGTTTGAGCTGTGACTTTGATAATATGTGTATAAAAGAAAAAGAAGTACAAACTTGCAATGATGAGAAAGTAGCTCAAAGCTTAGCAATTAGAAGAGGTCTTACTACATTTACAATTTTTTTTGAATTTTTCTAGAAGACAAATATTATCATTATAAAACAGCACAAAAAAAACAATAGTATTCTAGGGAGGGGAATACAGAGATTTGTAGATGTAGAGAATGGAATCAGAAGTAAGGTAATGGCAATAACGATGAAGTGAAGAAAGTTTAGGAAATGTTAATTTTGCAATGCATTTTATATATGCTTACCATCAAGTTTAGTAGTAAAAGATAATTCAAGAAGGCGTATAAAAGAATACTCCATTTATCAAAATAGAAATGTTGACAAAGTCGTAGTAAATAACATGTTATTTTAAAATTTAAACAGTAGTAAAAGCCCTAATTTGTTACGGAATTGAGATTTTCAAATTCAAGATTGGCTTAGCAGTTGAAAGGTATATAACTTTATTTTGAGGCATATAATTATAATTCTATGCCTCTTTTGTTATTTTGCATTTACAATTATGATTCTTCTAAAAATCTTAAATTCGAGTGCCTCAATTTTCTGACAACTCAAATATAAATTTGAGTTGTCAGAAAATTGAGGCACTCGAATTTAAGATTTTTAGAAGAATCATAGTTGTAAATGCAAAATAACAAAAGACCTCTGATAGAACTTTTCAGTTCCCTTAGAATCTAATTGAAATGAAGACTTTTTTTTTTCAATTCATCTCCTCAAAGTCATGAAAACCACTACAGTCAACGAGGCTACATTAAATTATGTTAACATCCAAAAAAGAAACAGCTAAATTTAAATTTGTCTCACAAAGATTAAGTAATAACATTGCAATTACCATAATTTGACCTAAATAAAGTTACTTCAAAGACTAAAATTTTTTGTAAAATTTTTCGTAAAAAAGCATGAACGAGAAAGCCATCCATCCGGCTTCAGTGCCATTAAACTAAGTTTTCTAGCTGTACAATCATTAGGAAATAATATGAAAAAGTCCATTACCCCTTACAAAAAGACAGAAGCAAAAACTCATAAGTAAAAGGTCCATAAAGTTATAAAAGTGCAATATTCATCATCCTAGGCAAAAAAAACGTACAACAGGTTTGCATCATAAACGTACAACAGGTTTACATCATAGCCTAATGATAAAGATGACGTGCTTAGCTTGTTAAAAGAATCATTCTGCCTACCCTTACAAGGTTTTGGCTAAAAGGTCTTTTACAAGCAGCACCTAAATGCTGGTAACTTCTGTAAAAAAAAAAAAAAGAGAGAGAGAGGAAGATTTACCTAAACATTATTTGCAAAGAATATTATAGTTAAAATGAGTTTGCTGATTTTAAAACCTATATATATATATATATATATATATATATATATATATTATATATATATATATATATATATATATATATATATATATATATATATATATATATATATATATGTATATATATATATATATATATATATATATATAGGTTTTAAAATCAGCAAACTCATTTCATATATATATATATATATATATATATATATATATATATATATATATATATATATATATATATATATATATATATATATATACATATATATATATATATATATATATATATATATGTATATATATATATATATATATATATATATATATATATTATATATATATATATATATATATATATATATATATATATATATATATATATATATGTATATATATATATATATATTTATATATATATATATATATATATATATATATATATATATATATATATATATATATATGTATATATATATATATATATATATATATATATATATATAAATATATATATATATATATATATATATATATATATATATATATATATATATATATATATATATGTATATATATATATATATATATATATATATATATATATATATATATATATAAATATATATATATATATATATATATATATATATATATATATATATATATATATATATATATATATATATATATATATATATATATATATATATATATATATATGTATATATATATATATATATACAGAGGCAGTTTTGCAAATAATAAATTGTGAGAATAACGAGATAAGATTTCTGATGGGCTACCTACTCTAAGCGATTGAAAGTAGAAAATTTCTTTTCAAGACATGAGAATAAAGTTTCATCATGAGCAAATAGAGCCACTTTAGATATAAGTTTGTATGAGGGAACAATAATGTAGATAAGAAAAAAAACACAATCAAGGAAAAAACCTTGAGGTTCTTCAGAAGGTACTCGACATGAAAAAAAAGTGTTGGCCTTCAAAATGACTTTATTAAAGCGGTTAGCAAGAAATGATTTTTTAATCTCTAAAACTTTCACAAATACGTCATAAAGATAAAGCTTCTTGAGAAGACCATTATACCAAATAATTTTAAAAGTTTTAGATACGTCAAGTATTTAAAACTTTTATAATTATTGGTATAATGGTCTTGAACCTGGCCTTTCCGCTGAAATAACACGATTAAACTTTTCAGTCTCAGCAGTTACCAAATCAGCCATAAAGTGAGCGAACCAAAAAACCTGTTGATTGTTCTACAATGATTTGTATGACTCAAGCAGGGATGTGAGCTATTACTATTTAAAAACTCAAAGACCTTGCTGATAATAATAAGAAGACTGATGGAACGATAATTGTAGGGTTTAGAATAATCTTTGAAATTTTTGAATTTTTAAACAAATAATATAATTTTTGTTTATATAAAAATTATATAATTTGTTTTAAAAATCGAAAACTTCAAAGATTATTCTGACATCTGAAGAAGGAAGAGCCGAATTCAAATAAGTCTTACAAAGAGCAAGCAAGTCTGGTGATTTTTAAGTCTGGTAACCTTCAACTGACGTAAAGTTACTTTAAAACAGCGGTTATTAGTAAAAGATATGTTGAGGCAGTTAGGTAGTGAGAGTGGCTTTTTTGTTTAATAATATGGCTAGTTTTAGACATTATTTAGTTTTAAAGAGAACTTGAATCATTCACAAATAGAGCATGCACACCAAGCTATGTGCTATACATTTTTCTCAGTCCTTTTTAAATAACCTAAAGTAGTAGCTTAGAGGACCTTGTGTGACTTTGACTATGCTAATCAAAAGCATTAATATGGAAACCATCCATGCACAAGAAAGCATTTTTTTACTCTGATATTTTACAGCTGTTATTTGAATAAGCCTTTCTGATAGCTACCACAGAACTTAAGAACCTTATTACTTCAAAATAAGTTTTTTTATTGAGATACCCTTTAGCCTTTATTCAATTGAGAGCCCTAAGTAGAAAATTTTTTTATATCGGATTTTGTTACTCCTAACTTTTGCCTTAAAAAAAAAAAACCCTAAGGCAGCAGGGTGTGGGAAAAATATTAATGAGTTACATAATACTAGTGGCAGGGTGGTCATGATAATCCTAAACGTGACCTGGTCGGAATAGTTTATAGAAGTTACTTTCTGTAAGCATTACTTTAAAACATTAATTGGATTACTTTTGAAATGCCTTGTGTAAAACAGTATATCTAACCGATTACTATAGATTAGAGTGAATGTAGGTTTTTTAGTTAATATCACTTGTTTGCTGCTCTTACACTGTATCAGAGATTTAAATAGAATACAAAAATACATAAAGTAACTTACGGATAAATAAACACTGCTCCACAGGTTCAGACAGAGCACAAACATTCATATAACAACAAAAATACAAACACATATAGCATACATACATAAGTACATATACTATAAATAGAAACTGAACAAACATATACAAAAAGTGACAAAACAAAAACCTACATATAGTAACTTACGTATAGACCAATACCTCGTTAGAGGTTTAGAGAGAAAACAAACACACATAAAGTATTAATGACCACGCTGACTGGTGATTGATGACCACGCCAGAGGTTCAGACGGAACACAAACATACACATAAACTAAAAATGAGCTAGCATAGTAACTTAGACATATTTAACAATATAAAAAATATAAAAACTAAATTACAGTTCTTCTAGCCTTAGATAGCGAATTTACAAGACAACTGGTTATGGAACAGGTTGCATTGTTTTACATGTTAATATTTGATGAAAATGGATGGATCTTTATTGGTAAAATATATGTGGCTTTCAAAAATATACCTCAAAAAAAACTTTATTTCTAGCAGTGAATTTGAATAAAGCGCCATGTTAATTTTTTGCTATACATATAAAATTTTGTTTAATTTTTAATCAAAATATTTTATTCAGTTAATTTAGATTATGTAAACCACCCTGACGAAATTATTCTAACCCAAGGCTATCTTTTTGGAACACTTAAAGTTTTGAAAACGGAGTATACTATTTCATTTAATGTGAAACCTCTGATTTATTCGAAGGGTTCAAAAAGTGTTCTTCAACTAATCTCAGGTAATAACAGTCGAGATTATATTGACAAAAATCTAGGTGTTTGGTTTCATGAAGACGGATCTGGAAAACTTGTTATACAAGCTGCAGTTTATGGTTTTAGTAGTTGCTTAGTTAAAACAGATCCGCTCACTTTAGGTCAATGGTCTAACATAAAAATATACCAGTGGCTATTTTGCAGTAAGTTTTGGTTTGCCGTGGATATAAATGGTGTAAATATCTATAAAATGGAAAATTTTTTCACTGTAGATTTAAAAGAAATAAAAATTTATGTTTCAAATCTCTGGGATGATGCACAAAATGGATCAATATCTCACTTTTTAATTATTAATGGAAAAGCAAGTAAGAATATATGTTTATAAGTGTTTGTAAATGTGTTTATGGAACTCAAACTCCACAAACTTCCCAAACTGGGAACTTAGACTAAATTTAATTCCTATATATATATATATTTGTATATAATATATATATATATATATATATATATATATATATATATATATATATATATATATATATATATATATATATATATATGTATATATGCAAACTTGAAAATTTATATTTTTTTTTTGTAGAATTTCTTATTGAGGATAGTAACACTTCATTAATAAAAGGAATAAGTATTGCTAACTTATCAAAGATAAATAAAGAATATTTAGTGTCTTTTGATTTTATTCCAATGGTATTTGAGACTGGACTGCACAGTATTATTAACTTTACTGTTGGAGATTATATTGTTAACAGTAGAAGTGTACTTTTAGGCATATGGTTAGATGAAAATGGCACAGGAAGAATTAAAGTTTTAGCTTTAATTAATGAAAAACCAACTTTGTTTTATTACCCTGTTTTATTGAATAAGTGGTCAAATATAGAGGTTTCTCAAAGATTCAATGGCTTGTTTTATGTATTCATATTGAGAATAAATGGAGATGTGATTTTTTCTGTGATTAACAATCAAGCTCAGGAGTTAATTGATGTCAAAGCATTAGCTTCAAATCCATGGGTCAACGGTCAAAATGGCTCAATAAAAAATTTTTTCGTTGTTAATGGTATTTTAAATCATTTTGTTTTTAATTTTTAGTAGAATGAAATTAATTTTTAATATTTGTTATTTTTAGTCTATTTTAAAATGTTAAACACACTTAAGTTAGTATAACGCTACTTTTAAGTGAGTGTTAAGTGATTTTGTTTATACAGACTTTTTTGTTTATAATTTTCACATTGATAGGAAATTTTGAGTGTATACAGCAATGTTTATTTAAAAAATTAAAACAATTTCCAAACCTGTGGCTATATTTCTAAATGTTACTTGCTATTGCAAACAAAAGTATTTATTGTGTGCAGTTGTAATAAATAATGATTTTATAAACTTTTGTATTTAAGTCTCAAATGAAGGTCTGTCCGATCATTAGATTTTTATAGACCCAACGTTAGCTCAACGTATTTATAATTGCTGGCCCACCAAAGCGCTTTAGTTGGCCGTAGGTTGACGTTGTGTTGGCATATGATCGTTTGCCTATCACCCCTACGTTAGCATCGTAAATAAGCGTCTTGGTTATAAATTGTCATCCGAACGTTGGCCGAGCAAGTTGTTATAGATGGCGCCACATAGGCATAATGTATTTTAAATTATGTTGCTAATATTGGTGCGCCGACCTAATATTGGTGCGGCGTTGGTATAAGGTTGTAGGGACAATGCTAGCTATACAAAATGTTACGGTTGGTGTTGTGTTGGCATATAATTTGTTGTCCATTGAGATCAAGAAGGTTTAATAAACAGGAGACGGTATCCCATGACTTTTTTGAAGCCAATTTTTAAAAACGGCCGCTATCTTGGTTAACCCAAAACATTTCGCGAAACTTAGGAGTTTATTAAAAAATTTATTGAATTCTAGTAAAAAGATTGCATCAAATAAATGAATTAATTGTCAGTTTATGTTTGGCAGCTTTTACTATCTTATAAACAATTATTTGCTAACTTTTTGTTTTTTTCAGTTTATTCTAATAACCTTCGGAATACTGAAATATACATCCAGATAGCTATTTTTGAACACGATACTAGAAGGTAATATATTTCAATTAGTATAAAAGATTCTTGAGAAATTAAAACCAAATGTTTGTGAGCTTTTATCTATATTTAAACAATAAAAAAATATATATATTTACTAGCGTGTGTGTGTGTTTATATGTGTATAAATCACATATAAACAATCAGTTAGCAAACAATTCTTTGTAGTATATTACATCCTCGGAAACAACTGGCAAGTTAATAAAATATTGATATCATTATTTGACATAAATAATTAAATAACTTGATTTAAGCAAAGTTTTCTATTAAAAATATCAAGTTTTGCGCAAAACATAACAATGTTTTGCGTTAACCAAGATGGCGGCTGATCTTCAAAACTGGCTTCACTGCGTTTTTATAAAGTATATATTACAGCGTCTCCTGTTAATTAAACCTCCTTAATTGAAATAATGTTAACGTTGTTTATATTTAACTTGTTTTGCAATACATTTATTACACTTTGGTTTAGCTAAAGCGTAACTTTAGTCAAACCAAAGTGCTACGAACTTTGTTGAATCGCTAAAACCAAACTACCAAGTGCTAGCACACACTTTTGATAACACGTTTGCCCAAAATCAAAAAAATGCTTGAAACGATGTTTCGTTGTTGGAGTGACGTTTTTCTTACTAAGTGTTCTGGTTGGTTATAGTTAGCAACGCGTTTTAATGATATTTTACTTAGCTTGTCTTATATTGGCGCAGCGTTTCTAAAGACAAAGAGACTTTAAAATTCCTCCTCATCAAGCAAACAATGTTCTCCTCATAAAGAAAATTGCGCATTTTAACTAGTTTTTAAAAAATTTGTTGGTTTGGCAAGTTTCATCAAGAGCGCTATAAACGGTTAATGTTTGAACAAAGTTGGTGTGACACATTCAACGTTTTTTTAACGTTTGGCATAATATAATGTGTTGACCTGAATGATTTGATACTTATCAAACAATGATTAGTATCTTAATAAGTTTTACAGGTTGGCGCTACGTTTTAAGTTAATAAAGTTCATATAATTTTTTGGGTTTCTACTAAAAAGCTATTTACTATTGGAATTATAATACATAAACATTTTACAACGCTGCTTCTCTTCTCCTCCTCCCTCCATAATAATTTTTCGAAAAGTGGAGCCATGTTTTAATGGTACAAGCTAAATCAGCATTTTGACGGTTACGTCTAACTGCATCTAAAGAAAATCAAATATTGGTTAGGTGACAATATACTGACTTTAAGCTGAGTTGAGTTTTATAATCATTTAAATAAATTTTTCAAAAACTTTCTGATCTTTTAACTTTTAAAAAAAAAAGTTAAGTTTCATTTTCAGGCTTTGTTTTAAATGAAAATTTCCTATTGCATTTGCTTAATGCGGTATTTGGTGTCATAAAATTTTTTATTTTTTTATTTCTTAAAGACATTAACTTTTTGCAACGCTATTAATTACTGCAAAACGAGTTGAATGTTAATTAACAACATTTTTATTATTACTATAAAGGAATGTTTAATATATTTTATTTTATTTTCTTAACATTAAATAATTAAATTTAATATTGCATTTTTAGAAATGTTTGATATTAACAAATTTTTTTCTTTTCTCGACATTTGCATAAAAAAAAATTAATATATGGTAAATTTTTAAGCTTTTAAAACGATTTTTTCTTCAATTTCTAATTGCGGCTTTGCGACTACGTATGACTTTTTATTAATAAAAAAATAGCGATTAACAAATAAAAAACAATACTTTAGTTTATTCACTTTATTTATTGAAAGTTTAAAAACTTATTAGTTTATTATTAAAACAACTCCACTAAATATATCGTTTAATTAAAAAAAATCGCTGCGATTTAACTTGCGTTATTTAAAATAAAAGTTTAACTAACTTTTTGTGGAAACTTTTGATGCAGCCATTTATTTAAAAATTAATTTTGAGTAAAAAAAACAGGCTTTGGAGACGAAGTCTAAAAACTGGCTCCGACTCCAGGCTCCGACTCAATTAGAATTTTTGGTTCCAGCTCCATCTACCAGCACTGGTGCACTATGCGTCGCTCTAATACAAAATGAGGATATAGGCTTATAAATAAGGAAGCATTCAACATATTAAACTAATTTTTCCTAATACATTGAATTTTTGTTTATATTTCCATATTTAAAAGAAAAACACCCGGTTTTTTTTTAAAAAACATCAAGGGTCACCCGGACTAATTTCTGACTATTCCGGAAAATCACCTATGCCCGGATTTTTTTATTCAACAAATAGTAGGCACCGATAATTTATAAAATTTTACAAACTTTTTAAGAAATTTTAAAACAAAATCATTAAATAAAAATTAATTAAAACTATCAACACATCTGCTATCATCTGATTCTTTGTTCTTGAGTTTCTTACAAAGTTTCTCAAAGTTCTAATAGATGTTTTTTAATAACTAGTGGCTATAAAAAAAGTTTTTCTTTTTTAAATTCAGCGCAGATAGCTTATCATTATAACATTTTAGTTTATGATATAGATCTTTCTAGATTAGTTAAAAGTTATAACATTATTTCTTAAAATTAAAAAAAAAAACTGAATTATTATTTTATACTACATTGAGATTTCTTTATCAAAAAAAAAATAATAAAAATAGTCTAAGAAAAATAGTCTAAACTACTACTATTAGCATAACATTTAAAAAAAAAACACTCAATAGAGGTTCATATCAAAAGACAGAAACACAAAATTAAATGTATCCCTTGTGTATTCAGCCAAAAAAGTTAGATGAGCATGACTAACTCTTGCAGTTTTGTTTTTTTTGTTTTTGGCTTCAATAGCAATCTCAGGTAAAGATGATACTTAGAATATAGATTGTACAGATTGTGACATAGATATGGTTTTTTTTTTAATGTTATTAGTGATGATTGCAAATAGATATTCAGATTTTTGATTGAAAATTTATCTCCACTCTTGTAATCGTAGTGTTCATATTAATGAGTAAATCTCGAAACAACTTATTTATTCAGATTTAGGTGCTTTTTGTTGTACACTAAAAATAATAAAAAGATGCATTCAAGCATATACAACACAAATAAAAATGTCAAACTTAAAAGTGTTTTTGTGAAACATAGGAAAAACATTTTGTGTGTGTGCGTGTGTGTATATATTGAAAACTGAGGATATATTTATATATATCCTAAGTTTTGAAGTGAAATGCAATAAGTCTAAAAGCATTATTTTGAGATAATGAACAAATATGTTTTTGTATAATAAAAAGTAGGTATTGTATTTATTTAGCACTGTATGTATTATATTTATATATGTATACATGTATGTGTGTGTATGTGTGTGTTTATTCATAGCTTGTTTAAGTTAAATAAGCTATGAACACACACACACACACACACACACACACACACACATTATTTAGTTAGTAACTAAATGTAAAACATCAAAAACCAACAAAGTAAATATCTCTAGTGAGTATAATATATTTGATATATTAAGTTATTATTATCAAATTTTAACAATAATAATAACTTAATATATAAAACATATTATACTCACAAGAGATATTTACTTTGTTGGTTTTTGATGTTTTATATTTAGTTACTAACTAAATATAAAACATCAAAAGAAAAAATTTGTTTATAACTGAATTAAAAATAACTTTTTTCGTTTTCCACAAGTTTTTATCAAATTAAAAGTCAGACTTTCAAAAATGTTAAAACTCACTGAGTAACCAGCATAAAATGATAAAAATATGGACTTCAGAAATAAATTTTTAATTGTAAAATTATACCAAGGAGGAAAATCATTAAACAAAAGTTTGCTGAGATTAAAAGAAAACGTTTTAAAACATACCATTCTTAAGTGAGAAGTTATAACTTACCGCTCTAGAATAAATGTACCGCTCCACGTCTTATGTTATTTTTTATACTTATTAACTAACCGGTTTTTAATAAAACCCACTACAATGAATCGATATTA